TTTTCCGTGGTTACCCAAGACTAATGTTTAGCCTGCTTGCTGGAGCAATCATGAATCGTTTCCATAAAGCAGTCCCACCACGGGACTCTCGAGTGTGGGATTTATTATGCCACTTTGCCCCATTCTTTGAATCGTGGGCATCATAATCGGGACAATATTTGGGCACGGCAATAGGTTAGGCAATTGCTCGCTCCTGCCTTGAACGACGGAGGCCATCCTGCCCTGTGACTATATTAAATCAACCTCCCTGGCTGCAGAATTGTACCTTTGCTGTTATATCGATATTAAATTCTTGACAGACGGTCTGTCTCTTGCAAGACGTGGGGATTCTTTCGCGGAGAGGGTCATCTTTCCTATAAATACAAAATTAGTTACCAGACCCCTCTTGGGTTCTTTAATAAATATGATGGCGGATAAAGGACAGAATTTGGATACAGAATTCTGTTTGAGCCAATTTTTTTGTTGTTGGCCTGCCTTCGATAAAGAACCGGTTGTCAACAGACATCAAACATTGGCTCAGAAACTATTAAGGGCAGCCAAAGCATTAGTGGCATTAAAAAAAAAGTTCCCTGGGAAATTACAAAGGGAAGGCGAGCAAAGCTGTCTCGTAAGAGAACAGAAGGCAGCAGGCAACAAGTTGGGGGGGATTTTAATGCCGAAATAATGGATTGTCAAGCTAATTCCCCGCACACATGCTAAACATGAGAGCTGAACAATGCTATGGTTTCATACATGCTTCACGGTTGAACAAATGCACTGCCTTTTCTATGATATTTTGATGTTGTTCATTCGTTCAGTCGTTTCCGACTCTTCATGACTTCATGGACGATCTCATTCCAGAGCTCCCTGTCAGCCGTCACCACCCTCAGCTCCTTCAGAGTCAAGCCAGTAACTTCAAGGATGCCATCCATCCATCTTGCCCTTGATCGGCTCCTCTTCCTTTTTCCTTCCATTTTCCCCAGCATCATAGAATCCTAGAATCAAAGAGTTGGAAGGGACCTCCTGGGCCATCCAATCCAACCCCATTCTGCCAAGAAGCAGGAATATTGCATTCAAATCAACCCTGACAGATGGCCATCCAGCCTCTGTTTAAAAGCTTCCAAAGAAGGAGCCTCCACCACACTCCGGGGCAGAGAGTTCCACTGCTGAACGGCTCTCACAGTCAGGAAGTTCTTCCTCATGTTCAGATGGAATCTCCTCTCTTGTAGTTTGAAGCCATTGTTCCCTTGCGTCCTAGTCTCCAGGGAAGCAGAAAACAAGCTTGCTCCCTCCTCCTCCCTGTGGCTTCCTCTCACATATTTATACATGGCGATTATATCTCCTCTCAGCCTTCTCTTCTTCAGGCTAAACATGCCCAGCTCCTTAAGCTGCTCCTCATAGGGCTTGTTTACCAGACCCTTGATCCTTTTAGTCACCCTCCTCTAGACACATTCCAGCTTGCCAATATCTCTCTTGAATTGTGGTGCCAATTTGGGGTTGGATGTCCTCTAATCCCTCATCCACTCCATCTTGCTGAGGTTGAAGATGACTTTCTTTTTGTGAGAAGACCGAGACAAAAAAGGTATTAAGTAGTTCTGCCTTTTCCCTACCCTCTGTCAGCATTGCCCCATCTTCTCCTTGAAGAGGCCCTATCGCCTCCTTGTTTTTCCTTTTTCTACTGACATAAGAAAAGAAGCCCTTTTTATTGTTTTTAATGTCCCTGGCAAGCCTGAGCTCGTTTTGTGCTTTAGCCTTGCAGACCTTTCCCCTACAGGTGTAGGCTATTTGTCTGAATTCTTCTTTGGTGATTTCTCCCTTTTTCCACTTCTTGTGCATGTCTCTTTTGTGTTTCAGCACAGTTAGAAGTCATTTGAGAGTTGTAGTTGTGTAGTACTTGTAGACCAAATATAACAACAAAAACTTAAAATTCTTTAATAAAATATTTGCATTCTAAAAAAGGTAATTTGTGTCAATTCTATGTAGTGTAGCTATATGAACATAATGTTGTAAGTAAACTTCTGGTTTGTAAGGTAACTCTTTTATTCACCTCTACCTTCTACCTTTTATTTTTCAGTGATCGGTTTGGTGGGGAGTGAGATCCAAAAAATATTGTTTGCTTACACTTGAAAATTACCTGCGGCCGGCCCTGGTTAGGTCACTCAACCAATCACAGATCCACCTTACAGTAGTATTGCCCGGCCCACATTTTATTAGTTTGTTTGCAAGAAGATCTTCTCCCATTCCTCCCAGTTTCCCCTCTCTCCACATCCCAAGTGTTCTAGTCCTTCCTGCAAATTCCCTCCCAACTGATCTATTACCGATCCCATAATTAAAGATGCATTTCAGGATTAAACAAATGGTGTGTGAGTTATGGCTAAACCCCCCGTAATCGTAACTATATATATACACATCGTTTTGAAAATCCTTCCTTGCGAATGCATTGCCACATTGAGTGCAAAAATCTGCTGGAAAGCTGTCTCCCAATGAGGCCGCCCCGGCGATAACTCATCCTTAAGAGACAGCTGAAATATGCACCGCTTTGAATTGTTTTAATATTGTGCACAAGAGAGCGAGGAAGAGAATTAACTGCCTTATGCTGCTGGCTTCTAAGTATCAAATGGATCATCATAAAACCAAAAACGCAGAAATCATTTAGAACTCTTTCAGGACCATATGCTCAGCCTCACAGATGATCATCAACTATAATGCTCTGCTCTGCAAAGCTCAAGGATGCAAAGATTATTGGTGCTCCTAATAAAGATCGTTACATAATCAAGCTATTCCCAAATCTTTATTGTGCCGTTTATGGCATGCACATTGGCCTGTGTACACATGGACGTCCCTCCTCACTAATGCGCCATGGACACAAACCTGGACCTTTTCCCCTTTTCTTTTACATACCCTTTCTTTTAAATAATACTAACATTTCAGGACAAAATAATTGACTGAGGTAGAAATTAGGTTGTGCACAGATATCTTTTCCTGTAGCACCTGTAGCACCTCTGGGAGCTTGTAACGGGTAGGTGTCCCCCGCTACAAAAATCAGCTCAAAAGGAAAGCAAGCGGGAGCCGATCCTGGCTCCTTGCCTGCTTTTCAGACCAATCTGAAAACCTGCTATAGACCAATCTCCCTGCTGTGCCACCTCTACAAAGTTCTGGAGAGACTTATTTTGCATAGAATTAT